GACTAAATAAAATTTATTTTACTATTTGAATTATACTAAACTATAAAACATGGACTCATTAATAAATGGGTTTTACTTTCTTCTAATGTAGCATAGGCAAAAGGTGCAGATTACCCCCTCAACTCAACAACTGGTGGCAAATCACCCCCTCAACCCACTTCATGCGCAAATCATCCCCTCAACTCACCTGCAGTGGCAAATCACCCCTTCTATTAACATCGGCACCATCCTTCCATTAGCTTTTAATAGTCCATTCACCCACCCCTTTGTTAAATCAAAAATTCCATCTACATACAAGATCATCTCACTTGCCAAGTGTCATTTTATAAGTAGATTGTAATCTAGTATCTAATGTCATGTTAGCACCATCTCTAACTAGTTTCTTCCTCGTTTCTCTGAGAGCAGATAAGTAGAGAACCAAGCAATGGAAGCCCTCAATGCAACAAGCTTGACACCTCTTTCTTCAACCCCTCCTCTACATCTAACATGGCTTGTTTATGTAATCAGACTTACCATTTTCATTCAAACAACAAACCCGGATAAAAAAAAAACATAAGAAACTCAAAACCCAGATGCAGATCATTACCATCTCGCAAAAACTCGATACTCAGATGCTCTCCAACAAAAAAACCAAGTACCCAGAAGAGGGGATGAGAAAGGATGAATAACAAGAGGAAGAAAACAAAAGCAGGGTATGTGAAAAAATCGGTTTTTGGTTGTAGAATCTGGGGAAAAGGGGTTAAAAAGACAGTGTCTTAGGGTAACAATGATGAGGAGAATGAGAGAGGAGAGAGATAGGTAAAGGAGAAAAGGACTTAATAGCTTCTTGTTCACCATTTTTTGCTACTTCCACACACTCGCAGGTAATGTTTGGGGATTTTGGTTTTAGGCTTTTTTGGCCCCTTGTCTTCCCTTTGTTGATTGGATCACTCAGGTTCACCCACCCAAGTCGTGGCTCGCCTAACCAAACTCAACTCTATTTTGCCAAAGACGCTGAGCTCCGGTGTTCGAAGAAGCTGCCAAACTACGGTCGGAGAGGAATATTCCTCTTGGAGTTTCCTCGTCGAAGGGGAGACCCAAGTTGACGAATTGCTCTTGAACGTGACCATACAAGGTAGCGTCGATGCAGTGCAAGTTGTTCCGTCGCAAGAGAACACTGTCGGAGACCTAATCGCAGCCGTAGTGAGGCAAGAAGTAAAGGAAGGTCGCCACCCAATTTTGCCGTCAACAGATCCCTCACGCTTCGATCTCCAGTCACCATTTTCATTCATATCCTTAACAATTTCAATTGTGTTACCAGGATGCTATGCGATTTTGGCTATTCCGATTGTTCTGTCTCAGGTATTTTTAACATAAATTGCCCAGTAGTCCCACATGCTGCTTAAGCCATCTGCCATCCGCCAAGAATTTTGTTTGATCTACTTATTTTGAGGTGATTTGTCTAGGTGTTCCTCCACCTCAACATCCACCTCAGCAAAAAAAGGCCACGTTAGGAAATGGTTATGAGCAGACTGTTAAAAGCTAACGGAGGGATGGTGCCAGTGTTAACAAAAGGGGTGATTTGCCAGGTGAGTTGAGGGGGTGATTTGCGCGTGAAGTGGGTTGAGGGAGTAATTTGCTACCAGTTGTTGAATTGAGGGGGTGATTTGCACCTTTTGCCTGTAGCATACTCCAATATTTCATGCCACATTGATGCAATTCCAAGTTTTCATCATAAAACTGATGGAAAATTGAAAAATGAATGCAGGAAAATTT